GTCGGTTCGGCGGTTGAGTGTTCTACCGGTGTTTCAGTAGTTGGTTCGGCCGTTGAAGGCTCTACTGGTACTTTGGTTGTCGGTTTGGCAGTAGAGGGCTCTACCGGTGCTTCAGTTGTCGGTTCGGCCGTTGAAGGCTCTACCGGTGCTTCAGTTGTCGGTTCGGCCGTTGAAGGCTCTATCGGTGCTTCAGTTGTCGGTTCTGCCGTTGATGGCTCTACCGGTGTTTTAGTTGTCGGTTCGGCCGTTGAGGGCTCTATCGGTGTTTCAGTTGTGGGTTCAGCAGTAGAGGGTTCTACCGGTGTTTCAGTAGTTGGTTCAGCCGTTGAAGGCTCTACCGGTGCTTCAGTTGTCGGTTTGGCAGTAGAGGGCTCTACTGGTGCCTGAGTTGTCGGTGCGGCCGTTGACGGGTCTAGAGTTGTCGGGAGAGATGGTAGAGGTGTTGACACTCTGCACGGAGTGGTTGACTCCCAGTCACACTGTTTAAGGCTGTCGTTGTAAACGAGTTGAATGGGAGCGCAGGGCACCTCATACGCCAGTCCCGCGTCATTGCACTGAATGAATGAATGACAGTCCCGGGGGTTGGGATAGAGACAGTCCTTCGGGCCCCGACACCCGGTCCGGTCGATGTCCTCCTGAGGGCAGTGATAGCCCGGGATAGGGGTTCCTGTGATAGCGTAAAATAATAAATTTACATTATAATAAATTTAATTAAAAATTAGTTAGTTATAATGGATATGTGCTATACCTGTCCTATAAGGGGCTGCACTAACAGCCGCTATAAATAAAGTGAATACAATTTTTTGCATTATTTTACAGTAAGAATGAAACAAAAACTACTTTATTATAACTAAAACAAAACAAAAGTTTATATGATTTTTTACTACAAAATCACAGCTATTTATATATAATTATAATATTTTGCGATTTATATTAATTACATATAAACTATAACTTAATGCCAAGAGTTTAACCAATAGTATGATAACCAACTGATCTGTGACCAGGACTTTAATGTTGTTGCAATGATTTAATTATATTTCATTTCCACCATCATACAAATAATCTTTTAAATTCTTTAATGATAAGAAGACAATATAAAATTGCATGTACTGCTTGTCTGAATATGTAGCCATGCTGTATTTTTAATATTTTAATAAACAGCAATGGATTAAATTATAAAAGCAATTATATGTTGTTAATTAAAAAACTGTACAATATAATTAATGTTTATGATAATACAAACTATTGGTATTTTACGTACCACTAGTTGGAGAATTTTATTAATAAATAACTACAACACAAAAACAACCGCGTTAAATTTCCATTGAAAATAACTAGGTCCATTAAAACATAAACAAAGTTATAAAATAAATGGAATTTACAAAGTTGTAATATAATAACGTCAGTAAACATTCTTATGAATGAACTAAAATCTAGATAAAAGTCTTATCAATAATAAAAATATGTGAACAATAGATCCAGTTTAAAGTGTTGGCACAAGTCTTGGTTGTCAATCCTGTATTACATTGTATTAGATAGTTATCCATATATACACTGTACACTGTATATATAAATCCCTTATTAATCCTGTGCTAAACCTCTCCCACACAGACGTTAATCTCAAAACACAACTATTTTGTTAATTTGATAACAATTAATACCTAAATGTAATTATTGATAAAATAATAATTGGTTTGACATCATTCACACGTGTATATTATTGTTAATATTTTATTACAAGCAATAATTGATGTAGTTTACAATTAAATCGCCAAGGTATACAAATTAATTTCAAACTCAGTCCAAAATTCTCC